AATAGTCGAAGAGAGCAGGCTTAGTTGATCAAAATTTTATTAGTCGCTCAGGGGGAAAAAAAATCACAGAAAGTGGTGAAGTCACGTAGTCTGTTACAGAGAGATTATTAACAGCTGGTCTGTGTGGTAATTACAGTACATCAGTCAGGACATGCAAATGTTTACTTTGTTCATCGACCTCAAATGTGGCTAATCATCTGAAACATGTAAGTAGTAGTATCATTACATGGCTGCTCGCTTTAATGTTAACCTAGAAAAATGTGCGATATTCAAGTGTTTGTGCGGCGTGTGGAAGCTGAATAGTAGCGCAATGACAGTTAACTTGGAGGTGCCTGTGTGATCATTTGCATTTAACGTTCTAACGTCTAGGCAGAGGCGTAGCAATAGGGCAGGCACGGCAGGCAATTGTAAAAAGACAGTATAAGTCATTATAATCAGTAATTATGTCCCCACTGGATGCTACAAATGCCTCGTTTGTAATGGGTTTTATTGGCTTTGTCTCGTCACACCGGGACACGGCATCAAAGTATGGTAAAGTCTGACCATTTGAACAATCAGAAATGTCATTATTAATATAACATGGAGCAATATATCTGCATCCCCCCTAGGGGACCCCCTCTCTCGTTACGCTGGATGTGCTTGCTTTTTCCTCGTGATGCGTCGGTGACTTATCCGTCTGGCAGCCAGAAGCGGAAAAAAGCAAGAAGAGGAGGAAAAGAGGAAACATGACAGCGGTAAATGATGGAGATAAGATTGACTTAAGGATAATTATATCACAAACAAATGTTACCGTTGCTAATTACAGCTTATTTTCATTTAATTACTTGCAAGATGAATTACTGGTAATAGTCCAATTACTAATAGGGTTACTGGGAAAAAGGTTAGCTAGGGTTGCACTTAGCAGCAGCATATTATGTAGTGTTTAGCAGGTATTAATATAAGCTGCAATAGAATAGGTGGTACCGGGAAAGACGTGCACATCACCAACGTCACCGCTTGGCAAGTTTCGGTACCAGGGATGCAAACTTGTCACTTTTCGGTGAAATTCGCCATTTTGAATTCAAAACGGGTCATTTGTGTGATTCGTGTAGATCCGCTGAGTTTTTTTAATTGTTTGGGGGAGGTGGGGGGGGGTCTTTTTACAGTTCCAGACAGTAGTATCAATTAAATTCGAAGTCACCCGCTTTCAAACGCTCCTGTGTGTTATTGTGTGTGCGCTTTGGTTTCGAATTAGAAAAACCAAAAGTTTCTTATTTACAACGTGTTTTGCAGCATTGAGTATTGTAGCGAATCACAGGCATCTCTGTTGAAAGTAGTGGCCAATCAGAGGTGTTTACTTTACTTCCGCTCTGATCTAATTTTTGTTTTCGCAAGTTTACGTAGTTCTACACGCTCACATATCTTCCTTTTATAACAAGACAAAAAGAAAGCATACACGATGTAAATAAGATATTCATTGTGTAGTTAGTTATTGATTATATGAGGAGTTTTCGCGTGAGTAAGCTCGGACAGTTGCGCCATAATAGAAGCGCCCTTTGCTTGGTGTCTCTTACACGGAGTTGCCAGATTGGGCAGGTTCCCGCCCAATTGGGCGTTTTTGAATTTGATTGTGATTTTGAATGTAGTATGACTGTATATTCAAGTAATCACAATGCCTTAATAAAAGTTTTAATTAGTTTTGACTGTGCAAAGTTCTGTATTATGTTCTACAATATGAACTTGGGCTTCCTCTAGTTCTGTGTAAAATTTATATTTAAAACATTTACGTCACATGCTTGAGGTATTCGGCCAATCACAACGCACTAGATAGACGCATTTCAGAAAGACGGGGCATAGAGGAGCAACAATAATGTACATTATGTGGAAAATAATGTGGTTTTTTTTACCTTAAACCGCATAAACAGATTGCATTACACCAAATACACAACATAATGTTCTTTTTAGCAACGTCATATGACCCCTTTAAGGCAACCAGGGAACTTACTTTAAGTTAAACCAACAAATAATTTTTTAGTGTAGTAACACAAAAAATTCAGTAATGTGACTTCAATAGTCCTGCTGTAGAGTGAAGATTATAGAAATGATCTGTGCATTTAATTGAGGAATGTGATTGATAGAAATTCAACTGAATTTGTATTAAATATGGTTGTTTTAACCAAGACTATGCTCCAAGATGTTTTTTTTTTTCAACTACATTTAAGTTCCCTGTTATAGGCTAATCTGCAATTTTGCAAATTTCCTTTTTATTAACATTAATTCCCATATATTCCTGTTAATTCTGTTGATTCCCATTGAAAGTGATCAACTTTTAAAAATAAATAAATAAATAAATCCCAGAATTAGTGATTTTGTCCTCCTTTTGTTGTTTGATTAACATTACTGACACAGACAGTAGCAAGAATATTAGGCTGCTGTCACTTTAAGATCTGACGCGCAAACCCAATATACTGATACACATCTGAGTTTCTCCCAATTGTTTAGGTTTTAGACATACCTTAAAATGGACCTATAGTCAATTTTGTGTGTATATGACAATTCAAGCACAAGTTGCAAAAGAGAACATAATTCAGGATTGCTTGTTGTCTGAGAGGCAGGGATTGCAGGTGGGGGGAAATAATATACAGCGCTCTCTTCCACCCTCAATACCACGACTTGGGCAAGTCACCGAACCCCAAACTGCTCCCAGGGTGCCGCAGCAAAAATGGCTGCCCACTGCTCCGGGTGTGTGTGCAGAGCACAAATTCTGAATATGGGACACCATACTTGGCCAAACGTCATGTCCTCCTCCTTAGAATTTAAGGTATTTAGAACATTTTTGACACATTTTAAGTAATCTGACTTGAATGTATTTTAATTTAGACAAACCTACATTTAACTAAAACTGGGCTGAGATCTCCTTTTTTGTGCAAGATACATGTTAAGTGGGAGATTATACATATTATACATTATACATAGTAATGTATAATATTTTACTATGCTAAATTTAGAAGAGTTTATGATGTTGTGTTTTCTGACAAATGAAGCATGAGCTCAGTTTGAGAACAGATATATGTTAAATGTTCTATATTGCCTTACTCATTCAGCAATTGCAATGCTAATCAAAGCATTGTACTACTAATTAGCATTTACTGAATTAGTTTGTATGAGTTAGCTTACTCAAATATTTTATGTTAAGAGCAATTACCATGTATGAGCATAAAATAAATATCTGCCAGTTCTGCTCACTTAAATTTTTGAACTGATAATCTCACATTTTTTGACTACTTTTTTGGGTTTACAGTGTTGGTTTAACATGTCAAAAACTTAAATCAATTGAGCGCTGTGTAGATACGCATACAAAAATGCAAGGAGTGGAAGCAGATCACTGCACACACACTGTTCTGCTGTCACACATCGGCGCAACTCAAGAAATACGGCTCTTTTTAAAATGTCATTCCATCAAGTACCGGTACTAACAAAATGAGGAATCATACTGTTTTTAACAGGAGGGCATCGAAATACCTTTCTAGTACTTGTATATTGTGCAACACTAATATCATGTAACATTACATCTACTCCAAAAAAGCCATTCAATGTCCAAACACTCGACAGTCAACTTGAGAAAAAAATGAAAAAAAACCCCACTAGAAAGGGGCATTTTGACTATTACATATTCATTATATATTTACTTATCCTGTTGTCTTTATGCGTCCACATATTGAAAACGCAATTGAAAATACAATTTGCTATTCTATTTGAAAATTTTCCGGAAAATCGTTCCATAGTCTTCATTATTTAACACGTTTGAATAAATCTGTCAGGAAAACAAGCCACCATTTAAATGTTTATATTTAACAACAAATTGGAGTAGAAAGAAAACTTATATTAAACAAAAGTTGATATAAAAATGGCCTTATGTGCAATTTAAATGGTTATATACAACTTTGTTATTGTTTGAGTGTTTATTATGAATTAATAGAGCTTAAAGTGCTGTAGCACTTTGTTTTATATCAAAGAGTTTTTTTTTTAATTCATAATATTAGTGTATTGTGTGATGGATTGTTTTTGTAAATATGACTCATACACCATGTACAGTTTTTATAATTACGTTTTTCCTCATGGTCTAGTGTTAAAAAACAACAACCAAAAATCGCAATGCAATATCGAATTGCAATTCTTAAAAATGACAATACATATAGATCCGGCACCCAAGTATCATAATAGTATCGATTTGGGAGATAGGCGTATCGTCCCAACTCTAAACTGAGCTGTCGACACAAAGCGTGGGTGGTATGACTTCAGTTGAAGGATGCCACCATTTGTCTCTTATAAAAAAAAAAGTAAAATATTTTAGAGCTCCTCGGATTCAAGTTATTTTCATCAATCTTTAAAAACATTATTACATATTAATAAACTGTGTCATGTTTGTGATTTTTATTCATTGCGTAGGGTATGTTGTCTGACCATTAAATCAAATCTTGAGATTTTATGACATCAATTATTTTTATTATTTAGAAACAAAAGTAATTTAATGTTATTTGTGCATTTTACGTTTCATTTAATTAGTCTAAGTACAGCACCACCCTACATAAAAAAAATTTTTAATGGGCGGTAAGAAAAATGTAGAATTGTTGTGTAAGAGCGGAGCTCAAGAGTACTTTTTCCATAAATTTACGCTGCAAGTGTCATGCACACAAACTGACGAACCTCATATTTATACAAATGCCCACTGTTTCCTTTCCACATTAGATAAACACATTAACTGTGAACAAACTATAGGATTCATTACATGTGGATATCTACATCAACTGACCACGCAAGTCAGTCACTCACTAAATAGTGACAAGTATGCAAGTCAAACCAATTACTACCAAGATTAGTGCAGTGTGGCAATGACACTAAATCAAGACAACAAGAAACACACACATAAACAATGAAATTAGACAGCAATCAATGCTCAATCAAGTTGATTAGTCTGATGCTCAAATGACTAAAGATAACATTAAAAGTCTCTCCCTCACCCTGTCTTTCATTCTCCAGCTCTGAGCCAAAGCTTTGGATCCCTCAATTTTCTCTGTGTGGCGTTTCTTCATGAAGGCCAGTGGAAGGTTCCAGTCAGTCATGTCCACCTCCTCCTCCTCGGCCAGACCAACCACAGGGGAGTGAAGCAGCTCAGCATCCATTTTCATAACGAATCTAAAAAAGGATATTAAAAAAAAACAATTATATGACCGTCCATTTACTGGTCTACAATGTGGAAAGTAGAGAGACAAAGAGTTGTGGTGCATTATTAAAGTGGTTTAATAAAAATTATTTTGAATCGGATTCTGAACTATTATCACAAAAAATTATCAAAAGTTAACATTGGTTGGAGCTTCACCAGACTATACGAGAAGCTAGTAATTTTCCAAATGTACAAAATAATTTATTAAACAATAAAAAACGTTCTATCAAACTATAATGTCTCCGGTTACTCATGTAACCTCAGTTTCCTGAAATGATGGAATGAGACACTTTTGCCTTGCCTAGTCAATGGAGATCAAGCGTGCAAATTTATGGCAGCCACGCCCTCCTACATGATGCCTGTTGCTTGATGCTTAACCTTATTTCCTTAAAAACTTCTGAATGAATAAACAAGTTATGAAAAACCCTGAGCAGAAGTAACACGGCATGAACACAACGTCTCGTTCCCTCATTTCAGGGAACCGAGGATACATCAGTAACTGGAGACGTCCCCTTTCGATATTGGTTTCTCAACATCACATCATATAGCAGATAGCTATGGTGAATGTTTTAAATTATGCCGTGTTACTGTGAAGGGTGCTCAGCGTATGGAGCCAATAGCCCCAAACACATTGTCTCATAGTAGGAAATTAATGTAATTTGACAGAACCATTGCAGCCAAACAACATAAGTATACATATATTATGATAGTAAATCACTAGCATTACACACATAGCCATAAGACCTCCAGATCTTGTTAAACTCCAGTGTCCCAGGGGTTCACTGTAATGAACTCAGATCCCTATAATGCCCCCGTGGTGCTTTTAACGTGTAGCCTATCAATAAAGGAACGGATAGATTTCCTGACCTGCAGTATCCTGATATCTACAACTAACGTACCTAATCAACTTTCCCTCCTAATGTTACTCCGGAGACTCATTAAAAGCCTACAAAAGCCTGGAGGGGTACAAATGGACGCAATCTAATTTTTTTTATGAATATTCAACCTGCTATGTCGTCACTGGAAGGGTAAGTCAAATGTGTTGTTAGCTAACGTAATCGACCTTAGCTGTCCTTGTAGCCAGCATAGCTATATCACTGTGAGTACAGTAGACATCATAAATGTCATGAAATCTTACCCGTTTAATCCCAAATTTTGTGTTGGATAGCATGTTTTATTGCAGTCAACCATTTTAGTCGTCTATCGGGATCCTTAGGAATACGATAAAATTATTTCCCCTTTGCTTTATGGGACAATCGCGTATGTGTATACACAGTATATATATATGAAAATGCGTATTTTTTAATTAAAGATAACTTATAGATTTAGTATGGGCTGCTTTTGGTGCTTGACGCTTTTTTTATTGGTCATTTTGTGTTTCACGAATAAGATAGACTACAAGGTTAAGAAGCTTACTTAAATGTAAAAAAAAAAAATTCTCTATTTTGCAATAAAAGACAGCTTCCCTTATTGATCACGTTTCGGGTAGATTGCATGTTTTCTTGCACGGCGGGATGTTGGACTCATGAAAAATAATCACGTAGTTTGTATTTGCCAAAACTGATTTACTGAAGTCAAAACACGGACGGAATTGGCGGCAGCGCGAGCGCCTGTTCTGGCATCTTGGCGCACAGCAGCTGTCCACCATGTTGAAATAGTAAGGTTTGTAAGGTCTAAATAGTATGGTTTTAAATGATTGTTGTACAACTGTCGATACCAATGCTCTAGCGCTCTCCTGATTGCCTGCCAAAATGGTGGAGTTTAGAGTGCGTGACGTCAACCACCGGAGCTCTATAAGGCAGCACTGCCCTGTTATGACGTCTATGCCATCGGACCTGGTTGAAACACCACACACAAGAAAAAAGACAATCGGTGCTTACCCAGCTGCTGTAATAGTGTTCATTTAGTAGTACTTTAGATAAAAAGCAGCAAGCCCGGCACTTATGAATGTTGTAACTGTGAACAAACCTCACTGCACCAAGGGCCAGTGGTTGCTCAACAAATTACAATAAAACAAATATATCTCGCACTTGTGAAATAATATATTTGAAACAGTCTGACTAGCTGCAGCAGCTGACAAGGAAATGGCAAACTCGATGCTTTACCTAACGTGACATTTAGGGCTGGGTATCATTCAAAAATGTTCAATATCAATACCGATAACTTGACTTCGACATCGGTTCCTGAACAATACTTTTTTTTATACCAATTTTATGAAATACACTTTAACAAAATTTAGGGCTGGGTATCGATTCAGATGTCCCGATTCGATTCGATTTCGATTCGCAAGCTCTCGATTCGATTCGATTCTCGATTTTTTTGATTACATTCAGTGAACAGTTTTAATACAAATGCTATTGATATTTCTAAAAAATGAACAGTAAACATCAGTTTACAAATGGTGAATTAATAAAAAGAAATTAAGAACCACAGCCTGTATTTTAAACCTATTTTTTATTTTTGTATAGGGTCGTTTTTAAACAATAGAAGGG